TGGCCGGGCTCGCTAAATTACATTGGATCACTCCACGGTCCGATGAGGAAGGCCTCCTCTTCTGCCCCCCCCCCCTCCCCCACATTAAATCAGCGCTTTCCTCCGCACTAACGCAATTATGTGCCTTTTAATCACTTGGTTACACGAGCAGTCCCGCGGCCCGTACAGCAGGTGCAATCAAGGGAATAATCTTTAAGGATTAGGGAATGGCCTTCTTTGTTTTTCCTCCCCGGCCAGTATCACAGCTCCGCTTTAAACCCTAACTAAGGCTGTTTGGGGATGACATTAAAACAGGGCTAATAGCTCTATTTTACCGGGTGCATTAGTTTTTGATTACACGCGCAAGCCGATGTTTTAAATAGGTTTCAACTGCCGAAGGGTCGGTAAAGAAACGAAAAAGATGTCCGAAGAGACTTAATCCAATAACGAAACATTTCAGTATTTTAAAATTCTTCGCGCGTCGCGTGCTTTTCCCCGAGGTCAGATGACCCCACTAAGAAAAGTATTTCTTGCTGGGTTCTGAACGTTGTCTAATTATCCCAACAAAATTAGATACTGCGTCTCATTGAGTTTATGCTCGGCCAGAAACATTTTTCTCATTGCACCATAAGGTGATAGGCGGTATGCATTCGGAAACACACTCTTAAATCCTTACAAAGAAGATTCTTGTATTCTAAAGAATTCTATGCAACCGTGATACAAAGCCAAATTTTCTTTGCAATACGAAGAAAATCCCTTTGTAAGACAATAAGAGAACTTTTTTGGAATACAAGGACAATACAAGGACGGTTGCACAGAATTCTTTGCATTATACGAAAAACGTCTTTGTAAAAGATTTAGAGTGTGCTAACTTCATTGCCATCGGATTGCCAAACCTCTATAGGCGGTGTTAACCTCGGTGTTAACTCTTCTTATCATGAATTTTCTTCGTTAGCAATGCAGAGCTTGCGCGTTTTCACCGGTCTGGCCCCACGTAATTGCGTTATTTACTCCTAAGTTGAACGTCTCCTCCCCTCTCGGGCGCGGGGGTTGCCGGCAGCAAGGGGAGGCAGGAGGGGTGGAGAGGGGGAGGCAGCCAGTCAGCCTCCCCGCGGCGGTGCGGTGGTCCCGGTCCCGCCGCTCTCCCGCCAGTTGCGAGCGGAGCGCCGGCGCGCCGAGTCGGGAGAGAGAGAGCGAGCGGAGGGAGAGATAGCCAGGGGGGCTGCCGCCAGTGGCCGCGCGCGAGAGCCGAGCAGGAGCCGAACCGAGCCGAGTCGGGGCCCGCGGACCGGCGACGTACCCGGGGGGAAGTCCTTGCTGCTGCAGCGGGAGGACGCTGTCCATCCGCGACGGCGATGTGCTGCTTGTAGTGGACTGATGTGGTGAGGAGTGTTGTGGACGCGCCGACCGTCACTGGAGTAGCGGCGCCACCGGTGTCTACACGGGACTAACGACAGGTGAGTGCAGGAAAACACGCACTCCCTATAAAAAACAAAAAATTCTTCATTTAATTACTCAATCAAGAGAAAGCTGTTTGAAACAAAGTTTGAGAATTTTTGTTATGTATTAAATAGTCTTATACTAATAGGCTTCAAGCATTTTGTCCTGATGATTTGCCAGGCCTATAAGCAACCCAGTGCAGCAGCAAAAACGAGGGACGTTTTACTTCACAGGTCCGCTCAAAATTTTGCGTTTTGCTTGATTGATTTCGTCTGTTAATTTTTATTTTCGGGGAACTTTTGTTTTGTAACACTAGTTTTTATCGTTGACAGACAAAAGTGCAGTGTTTGAAAAATTAATCGAGTAAAATCTCCGTTCTAGATTAAGGCCGTTTTTGTTTGCAAGTGACGACGCGCACGCACACAAGCTCGCACAGGGGGCGGAGGGCAATGTATCGCAGTTTTCATTATGTTATCTCATTATTCTCCCGCATGGCGCGCTGCGCTGCACGGCGGCGGACACGTGTTGTGTGCGAGCGGGCAGCCGGGGAGAGAAGGCGAGTACCCCACCCCGCCCCACCACTGCAGCACCGGGCCCTAGAGTGTTCCGAAAACTCTCCCCAAGAGGAGCTGTCCTTTGCATCTCTCTCGCACACTCCTTTTGGTGGAAAGAACGTATGTGAGAGAGAGAGAGAGAGAGAGAGAGAGAGAGAGAGAGAGAGAGGGAGAGAGAGGGAGATGGGAGTGTGTTGGAAGTGTTGGGCGCGCTACTGCGGTGGGTTTAATAACGCGAAGTTAGTTTTAAAAGAAGCAGAATCCTGAGAACCGGTGCGGGGATG